ATGGAACAATATTTTCTTTTTTTTATAGTCCCGCTAAATCAACTGGCAAAAATATTAATTCTTAAGAAATAATTGGAAATGTTGGTATTTTGTGTTGCCAAATAGCAAAAATCATCTTTCGCCTATTCAATAGACAGAGCATCTCCTAGAGTTTTCAAACCCCACTTCTAATCTTGATTTTTTAGAAAGATAAAAAAGTGCTCTCCAACAACTCCTTATCTAAACTCCTGGTCTTTCTGCACATGGAAAAAAATCGATCTAATCCGAAGAAAATAAGCACGCGTATCAATCAGTCAATCTAGAGGTGGAAGGACATGGAAAAGAAACGCATGCATATCAATCAGCCAATCTAAAGATGGAAAGGATATGGGAAAGGATTATGAGTAAAGACAGGTTCTCAGTACAAATGTAGAGAGAAATAAAGTATAAAAGTAGTTAGAGTAATTTAAAATTAGTGGGATTCCTAATACAAAACAAGATTTCGAAAACGGTTAGACGGACCCAACAAATATGCTTCCAACTTTTTTAGCCACTTAAAACTCATTGATTTTACTTAAAAAAACTATTGGAGATGCTCTAATTATGAGTATTATTTCTGTAGTTGCTAAATGAAATATATCAAATATAGAAAAATGTAAAATTTTCGGTGATGATAAACGGCACCATGGCGATTGGCAAGACACGTCACACTAGGTGTCAACTAGAGTTGGAGATTGGGTGGTTTATGTAGCACTCTACTAATATTCACGGTTAACGTTGTTTACGTGACTTTGAGTCACTATACATGTTTCGTAATATTTTTTTAAAATTACACAATCAATATAGACATCCACAACACATACTCACCCCTTGTGGCGGATCCAGGAAATTTAACAAGCCTGGGTGACAAACAGTCAAACTCTAAATAGCAAGCGCTTAGAAACATACAACAACAACAACAACAACAACAACAACAACAACAACATAGCCTTTCAGTTCCAAGCAAATTGGGGTAGGTTAAAGTTAAAACCCACCAAGAGCTCCTAGTCACGGTTCAGGCACTTCAATAGTTACTTTCCAAGCACTCCTATTCAAACATAGATCTGTAGGTATATCCCAAGTTTTCAAATCTCCTTGTATTGCATCCCCATGTTAATTTCGGTCTTCCTCTATCTCTCCTTATATTATTAGATTGGCTTAGAACTCCACAATGCACTGGTGCCTCTAGAGGTCTTCTTTGGACCACCTCAACCAATATTGGACAAGCTTTTCTTCAATTGGTGCTACATCTAGGCGATCACATATATCATCGTTCCGAACTCGGTCCATTCTTGTGTGACCACAAATCCATCGCAACATACGTCTTTCTACAACACTCAGCTGTTGAACATATCGAATCTTTGTAGGCCAACATTCTGCTCCATACAACATAGCTGGTCTAATCGCCGTTCTATAAAATTTGCCTTTTAGCTTTTGTGGTACCTACTTGTCACAGAGAATACCAGAAACTTGTCGCCACTTGATCCACCCTGCTTTGATTCTATGGCTAACGTCTGCATCAATATCTCCATCCCTCTGTAGCATCGATCCCAGATACCAAAAGGTGTCATTCTTAGGCACTACTTCCTTCCAAACTCACATCTCCCTCCTCCTGTGCAGCTCCGCCAAAGTTGCATCTCATCTATTCGGTTTTAGTTCTGCTCAACCTAAAACCTTTAGACTCAAGGGTCTGTCACCATAACTCTAGTTTCCTATTTACTCTCGCTTGGCTTTCGTCCACTAACACTACATCATCAGCGAACAACATACACCAAGGGATATCCCCTTGTATGTTCCTGGTAACCTCATCCATTACTAAGGCAAAGAGATACGGGCTTAAGGCTGACCCTCGATGAAGTCCAATTTTAATCGGGAAATAATCTGTGTTACCATTGTTTATTCGAACACTACTCACAATATTGTTGTATATGTCCTTGATGAGGGTCACTTACTTTGATGGGACTTTATGTTTGTCCAAAGCCTACCACTTAATATTTCTTGGCATCTTGTCATAAGCCTTCTCCAAGTCAATGAAAACCATGTGGAGATCTTTCTTCTGCTCTCTAAACCGCTCCATAACTTGTCTTATTAAGAAGATTGCTTATGTGGTCGACCTTCCGGCATGAAACCAAATTGGTTTGTTGATATCTACGTCGTTCCTCGCAGGCGCTGCTCGATGACTCTCTCCCATAACTTCATAGTGTGGCTCATCAACTTAATTCTTCGATAATTAGTACAACTTTTGATATCTCTCTTATTCTTGTAGATTGGTACCAATATGCTTCTTCTCTACTCCTCAGGCATCTTGTTCGATCGAAAGATATTGTTGGTTAGCCATACTATAGCTATATCCCCGAGACATCTCCACACCTTGATTGGGATACCATCAGGGCCCATCGCTTTGCCCCATTTCATCATTTTCAAGGTTTCTCTGACCTCCGATTCTTGAATCCTCCATACAAAGCGCCTGTTAGTGTCATCAAACGAGTCATCCAGCTGAACGGTGGTGTTCTCGTTCTCACCATTGAACAATTTATCAAAATACTCTTGCCATCTATGTCTGATCTCATCCTTCTTCACCAAAAGCTGCTCCCTCTCATCCTTTATGCACTTGACTTGGTTGAAGTCCCCTGTCTTCCAATCGCGAGCCCTAGCCATCCTATAAATGTCCTTCTTTCCTTCATTCGTACTCAAACATTGATAAAGGTCTTCATAGGCCCGTCCCTTTGCCTCACTCACCACTCATTTTGTAGTATTCTTTACCACCTTGTGCTTCTCTATATTGTTTGCACACCTGTCATGATACAAGCGCTTATAACAATCTTTCTTTTCCTTAATAGCCTTTTACACATCTTCATTCCACCACCAAGTGTCTTTCGGGTTGCATCCGCTCCCTTTGGTCATTCCAAGCACCTTTGAAGCAATCTTTTGAACGCATGTTGCCATCTTCTCCTACATGCTGTTTGCATCGCCTTCATCCTTCCAAGGGCCCTCTTCAATGACCTTTTCCTTAAAGACCTTTGATGCCTCTCCTTTTAATTTCCACCACTTCGTTTTAACAACCCTAGCTTGTTTGTTCCCACGAGCTTGCACCAAAAAGCGAAAGTCAGCCACCACCAGCTTGTGTTGAGCGACCACACATTCTCTAGGTATCACCTTACAGTTCACGCATGTTCGTTTATCCCTCCTTCTTTTAAGGACAAAGTCAATTTGACTAGAATACTGGCCACTCCTAAAGGTCACTAAATGAGACTGTCTCTTACGAAAAAAAAGTGTTAGCTATCATCAGATCAAAAGCTTTGGCGAAGTCTAAGACTTCCTCTCCCTCCTGGTTCCTACTACCATATCCGAAACCCCCATGAACCACCTCAAAACCTGCACTTGATGTACCTACATGGTCATTAAGATTACCTCCTATAAAGAGCTTCTCGCTACTAGGGACAGCTTTAACCAAGCGATCTAAGTCCTTCCAAAAAAGTCGCTTAGCACTCTCATCATGGCCTACTTGGGGCATACACACTAATTACGTTTAAGACCATATCACTAATGACAAGTTTAACGAAGATGATCTGATCCCCTTGCCTTCTCACCTCCACCACACCATCCTTGAGGCTCTTATCAATCAAAACTCCTACTCCATTTTTATTTGAAGTTGTCCCTGTGTACCAGAGCTTGAAGCCGGTATTGTCCACCTCCTTCGCCTTCTGCCCATTCCATTTAGTCTCTTGGGCGCATAAGATATTTACACGTCTCCTAACCGCTGTGTCCACTCCCTCTCTTAACTTACCCGTAAGGGACCTTATATTCCAACTACCTAAACGGATGCTAGTTGGCTTTACTAGCTTCCTTACCCTTCACACCCACCGAGGTAGGTGTGAAGACCCTTGCTCATTTTGTACCACACCCGGGCGCCGATGTGACGTGCCACCAAGGATGCGACGATCCGATCCTTGCTCACTTGACACCGTGTCCAGATCACGACATGACGCGTCACGGGAGTGACGACCCGGCCCTTGCTCATTTAACACCATACCCAGGTTCCGACATGGCGCGTCGCTAAGAGGGTTACACCTCAATGGGATTCTTTTGGGTTTCATTTCCATAAAAGTGGCTAAGTTTTTACATTGACTCGTCGTGCCTAATACAACCCTTCTCCTTTATCATGGCTTGAGACCTGCTATGCTGAGACACCAAAAGTGCCCTACCATAGACGGAGTTGCTTAGAAACATACAGTACAAATAAAATATGACAAGTTGACAACCTCATTAGTCTTAACCAAAATCATGTTGCAATACATGTTCACATCATGGATATGGAGAGTAAAATTTAACAGAAAAAAATCACACGCTAGTTTCTAACTACGAAGCATACGACTAGGAGGAAGTTGCATCTTTCTAGTCTTTAAATTTTGAAACCATCGAAGAATAGTAGCTTCATCGAGTGATCTGAATAGTTCTCGCTCAACATAGCACACCATCAAGTTGTCGAACCAATCATCGGCAATCTTGTTCCGCAATTTAGACTTAATAATTTTCATTGCTGCAAACAACCTTTCCACAGTAGCAGTTGATACCGGCACTAACAATGCCAATTCAATAAGCTTGTACACCAATTAAAAAACCAAATGTTTTTCTGTTGCAATCATCTTTGTGGCCAAACTTTCAATATCTGTACAATTAGCAAAGGCAGCATAATCCTCACCTGAAGAACATATGTCTCAAGTTGTTCCCTTATTATTCCACGGTCATGATCAGAGAAATCAGCATCATATATTTCAGCAGTCTTGCAAGCTTGTTGACATCAAACTTGGAGAAAGAGTTACTTGGATAAAGACAAGAGAAGCACAATAATACCTCCGTAGTTGCTTCACTAAACCGATGATTCATCTCAGCACATATTTTGTCAACAACAACATAGAAAATTTCAGCACGATAATGATGAAGATTAATGATAGGAAATCCATCACGCCTTGAACGACCCCTCACTGGTATCTCTGCAGACATATCTGGGACTGGAATACTCTTTGCTGCACAAAACTGTTTTGCTTCTTCAAATAAGTCATCCCAGCCACTTTCAAGGTGTTCAATCTAGACTTCACATCATGAATAAGCTGCATAGCAATAACAATGTCGTAAGTACTAAAAAAAAGAACAGATGACAGCTAGTAAGTTATAAGTACTAGGTGCTAACCTCAAGTGCAAGAACAATGTTAAGACCCTTTGTTTGAAGGACACGTGAGAGCTCATTTGTGATACCAAGCAACTTTAACATAACCACCAGAATAAAAACAAACTGAAAACACTCCATTTTTTGTATCAAACCAGCTGCTTGATTTGGTACTCTACCATCTTCATGGACTATACGCAACATCTCTATCACTGAGTCCCACATTTGATACAAACGAATCAAAGTAGTATGATGTGATCCCCATCTTGTATCCCCAGGTCTAGTAAGGCTGGTTTCCTGATTCAAGCCTCTTCCTGTTGTTGCCTCACCAGTTTCAATAAGTCGCAAAGTATTTTTACGATGGTTTTCATGTAGTGTGTCCCTCCTCTTGCAAGATGTGGTTGTTGTGTTCAAAATCAATGAGACATACTCAAAGAAATCATGAATAGATGAGCAACAATTTGCTACAGAAACAACAACTAGCTGCAATTGATGGGCAAAACAGTGGACATAGAAGGCATATGGGTTTTCATCTAGAATCTTTTTCTGTAAGCCACCAAATTCACCTCTCATATTCGAAGCTCCATCATATCCTTGCCCCCGTATACGAGAAACAGATAGCTTGTGCCTGTCAAGAGCTCCAAATAATGCTGCCTTTAGTGAATCAGCTGTAGTTTCTCTGACATGTACAAGCGCAAGAAATCGTTCGATGACATTCCCTTTAGCATTCACGTACCTGACAAACAACACCAATTTAATTATTTAAATAAAACAGCAACAAGGCTAAAACTACAGTAGCACATCTCAAATACAATGAATCAGCTACTAACCTTAAAACTACCCCCATTTGCTCTTTAACTAAAATGTCCCGTGATTCATCAATAAGAACAGAGAAGTTTCTATCACCAATCTCTCCCATAATTGCTTCAGTTATTTCTTCTGCGCAGCATCTTGCAAGATCCTTTTGAATTTTGTGGGAAGTCATCTTGCAATTTAACCCACCACGGTCGTAGGCAGATCTGACTTCTTCATTGTTATCTTTCAAAAAATCAATCAACTCAAGAAGATTTCCTTTGTTCAAAGAAGAAGAAGACTCATCATGCCCACAAAAAGCTAGCCCTTGCTTTAAGAGATATCTTGAACAACGTAAAGTAGAAGTTAAACGAATTTGATACAATTCTTCTACTTGTTTACTGGCTTTGTTTAAGACACTCGATACACTTTGTTTTTGATTTTTAAAATCATCGCATTTTTTAACACACTTGTTGTGAGCACTGCCCACTCCACCAACATGTTCAGGTAATGCTTTATATGCATGTTTCCAATCTCTCCAACATGTTTTACTGAAGCTAATAAGCTATCATGACCAAAATGTTCTGCCCTTCCCGGTTGCTTGAAAAGAAAGCAATAAAAGCAAAAACCAACATCTCTGGGCTCACTGTATTCTAGCCAATTATATTTCTTATACCATGATATAACAAAATTTCTAGAATCACCAATCCCAAATTGTGTGCGGGGAAAAAATCAGATTTGTTGGTTGTGTAGGACCCTTCAATATATATGCTCTTCTAACTTGGTCTTGAATTTCAGGAGCATACTTATAGATTTGTTTTCTAAGAGCCGGATCACAGAGAATTTCGTTAGGATCAAACTCACTAGTTACATTGCCGATGTTTGGCACTGGCTGTGGCTGCTGATGATCTGGATTTGGTACTTCATCTTCACGTGGCTGCTCTAAGTTTGAGTTTCTTCCAGTTTCATGACTTCCACCAGGAACATTCCTCGTATCAACCAAAAAACGTCTCATTCCTAAAACAAATTTCAAATTTATTACAAGAATTAAGCATTGAACATAAGCAATCAAACAAATCATCAACTATCAAATTATGCCCAAATTTACCTGATTGGCTAAGTTTCCTTTGCCTATCTGCCATTTGCTACAAATTGAGAAGACCGGTGCCTATGGCTGTGAGGGAAGAGGGATGTTGCCCTTGTCGACGACGCATCACTGCGACACCCTGTGGCCGGCGCTCCAGCACGGCTTGCAGCGAGGCCGCCGGTTGCCGTTCTCCCCCTAACAGAGGCAAAACGGATCTGAGGTGAAGCCGTGAAGGTAGAAACCAGGCCAAGGAAGAAGGCAGGAGCGGCAGTGCGGCACAGGGTAAATAAATGGGGAATTGAGAACGTCGCGCACCTTTGGCCATGGCTGGCGATTTGATCTCCGTAGCGCAACTGGTTCTGGGGATTTGGAGCTCCGCCGCCGAGCGCCCGAGCGTCGCCTCGTTTCCGTCGGACGCCATTTACTGCGGTGCGGCTCGCTGCTCCCTACGGTCTTGCCCCTGGGATTGACGACAACAGCTGTGGAGAAGTACTGGGCCTTAAGGTCCAGTAGGAGACGAGCCCGGGCATGGGCCAGGCTCGCCGGGCATTGGGTCCGTCTATGCTCACCCTGTGAACAAACCGTACGAAAATCCTACTCCTATAAGCACCTCTCCGATGAACTGAGCAGACAGATGTTTCGTTATATTATCTTGTTGGTTTATACATGACGTTTATTTCTAGATAGAGAATACAGATCCGTACGTAGTTGTGCACCACGCTTTGAACAGATGTTCTTGTCACGTAGTCCACAAATTGTGTATAATATTAATGTGACTAATATGTATGGTCGGGATTTTATGTTTTATTTGAACATGCTGGTTAGTAGAGTAGTATATTGTTCCAACATCTTGGGAGTTGTTTAAGCATATAGGAGTATATATAGTGTTCCCCGAAGCAAGTACATAGCTCTCTTGTATTGGATGCCATAAACATTTCTAGTAAATCCAAGGTGTATGTGCCTACCAACGCTCCAAGAAACCATCCGCACACACTATGCGATACAAGACACGTACGTTGTTTCATCAAAATATAAAATACGGACGTAATAAATGAATTGTATTTAGCAGTGCCGCGCATTGTTCAAGATGTAGCCTTTTACGTTAAGCTTCTTAATGAAATACACGTGAAGTCGTGTTCTAGAAAAAAATGTATTTAGCAAGTTAAAAAGAGAGACTTCCACCTCTGAAATAAATTTATATCTAGGTTGTTTCGCTAATGACTGTTTTACCTCGAGTTAAAAAAAAATTCAGTGGATGCCTCGAGTTAACTGCAGTTGTTGGGTTATGTTATCTAGTTCTGGAATCTTTCTAGCTACATTGGTTAGCATAAAGGCTTCTGTCTTGCCACACATTCGGCCCAACTTTCTATTCCGCCATCCACGTTGTCCGCTCTTTTTTTGCCAAACAACTTTAATTTCAAATTTAATTTTAACACAAGTTAAGAGAAGTCTCAAGAAACTACATCAAAAGAATAACAAAACTTCAAAACAAATCATCAGCACTTCTTGACTAAACTGAACTTGGTAATCCTTTTGCATATTGAACATGATAGCTATTTGTGAGGTTAAATGAAAGTTTCCAGTCATGAAAAAAAAATTAAAAATGATATAACACAGGCATATATAAACAACAACCACTCGTTTTTTATACAGACATGCGTTCATCTTGACGATGTCATGGCTGTGGCATGTATTCCATCAGGTGTTGCAATAATTCACCTTGCACTGTAATGACATACCAGTATTGGACTGGATTTTCTCATCTGCATAACAATTCCGCTTTCTTTTTGAAACAGAATTTAATCATTGTACTCCCGTTGTGATACAATAGAACATTTAGATTCTTTAATTCAATCGACTGCGGTGCCTACAAAGAGATCGGGTGTGCATCAAGTGATAAAATGCCATGCGGCCTGAACCCCCACATCTACTCGTTGGGATCAAGGAATCCGACAAGGCACTTCTCCAAGAGGAACTCTGCATTTACCCAAGCATGGTATTTATCTATCGTCAAGTCAAGGAGCAATCAAGAATTATCAGCAGATGCACAATCAACAATCACAAAATGGGACAGTTAACGAATGTAATCATCAGCAGGTCAATCACCAAGAGATTGAGGAAAAAAGTCTGCAAAGGCATCATAGTGATTGCTGTTTGTATGCCATGCCTTTAGGTACCACACCAACTTGCATAATAAAAATGGTGTTCCAGTACGAGTCCACAAGCAGCAAGATAAGAATCACAGTGCAGAAATAATAATAGAAGGATACTGAACAAAGCAGTGCAGTCTTTCCCAGCAGCTTTCATAAGCATATCAACACCTGCAAATCAACCCAAAACATGATACAGGTTAGGAAATGTATCATAATACAGAAAAGGTTGTGACTTGTGAGACGAGAACAGTGGTTCTGAAACTCAAACAGAATAACTCTGAATGAACTGAAACTATGATTACCTCCAGGATGAAATTTCATGTATGGAGCAATGTTGTACACGCGGCCTTTGAGAACTGTCCAAATACAATCTCCTGCTTTGTGCTGTTTAACCTCTTCTAAAGATATTAACCTTCGGTTTGACTGCCCCTTAAGCCCTATAAAAGGAAGGAAAACAAACATCATTTCATCAATTATCAGATAATCAATTGAGGGCAAAAAAAACTTGCAAGTAGGTAAACAAAAATGGCAAACATGATTATAACTGTAGTGCAATTGTGTAAGCATAACTCCCAGATTGACATAACAAGGTTGACAAGATCTCAAAATGTGTCAATCTAACCTTTAAAAGGTTTTGCAGTGTGGGGGTAAGCATTGCGAACTCAAGACAATATTTCTGACACAAACATCATCCTGTTTATAATTTGAGTAAAATATATCACGGATACAACAACTTGCATTGTAGGGGTGCACTGCACGTAGGTCATAAATATTGCAAAATGCTCAAACATGTCACTAAAGCTGTTTTATGGGTGCATTTGATAACTTGGATAAGCACGATCATACCACAGTGCCACAACAGCTCCCAGCCATCATTGAAATGTTGACGGCAGCACTGATAGTTCAACCTTCTTTTTTATCTTTTTGAGATCATCTGATGACTCAAGCTTGTAGAAGGGGAATGGAAGCTATTTACAAAGGGGATTGTACCTGATCTAGTAAAGCTTTAAACAAACTAACGGTAGTAGCAGCTGCTATTAACATACTTATTTTTAAAAGGGTCCCTGTCATGGCCTTCTTTGGAGGCCATTATGGGAGCCAGGTCTCGAGTTCTGGCCAGTCAGCTCACACCTTGGAGCTTCACCGCCTGCTCTATGAGCAAATTCCCTATTAGTATGCTTATTAGTTCTTTGCCACCAGCTGTTGGTATTGGTGCACTGTTAACGAGCAAGAGAATATAGAATCATGAATGCATGTGCGCTAATACATGGAAGTTCACCACCATTGCTGCCCTAATTCTCACAGGAAAAAGATCACTTAAATCAGCACATACTGTGACATGACTTAAATACAGAGATTTATTGCATTATAGTATTACTGAGCAGCAGTGTCTGGTTGGGGAGATAAACAGCTGCCAATCCCTGATCGGTGCCAACAACTAGTTGCGATCAACCCGACTTCGCTCAACTGAACTGATGGGACAGATTCGTTGACTAAATTCATAATGAGATGCAATGAACTCATTTTGACAAACAACACAGCTATGGCACATAAACCTCACAACAGTATGGAACCATCACATAGTTCATTCTAAGAAATTATTGCAAAACTGTGAGAATGACTTGGGGTAAGGGGGCGGCCCTATTTGTTAAAGAAATGGTCCAACAAGGTTTCCTTTGCCTGACATGGCAACATGTAGAACGTGACAAGTAGCAATCCATGTAGCAAATGCAACAACAACAACAACATAGCCTTTCAGTCCCAAGCAAGTTGGGGTAGGCTAGAGTTGAAACCCACCAAGAGCCCCAAGTCACGGTTCAGACACTTCAATGGCTGCTTTTCAAGTGCTCCTATTCAAACATAGATCTCTAGGTATATCCCAAGCTTTCAAATCTCTTTTTATTGCCTCCCCCCATGTCAATTTCGGTCTTCCTCTACCTCTCCTTATATTATTAGCTTGGCTTAGGACTGCACAATGCACTGGTGCCTCTGGAGGTCTCTTTTGGACATGGCCAAACCACCTCAACCGATGTTGGACA